GGAGAATCTGGGGAGGGTGGAGATTATGGAGAAGACAAATCTGATGACTTCCTCCGTAGCCAAATCATATACGAATCATCCCTCCTTGACTTCTCCTACTTCTCACGCGAAACCCAGCCTCGTCGAGTCCACCTGCTCCTCTCGACGAAACCAGAGACTCTACCTATTGTCTTTGTGGTCTGGCGCAATCCAACAACGAGCAAGCGAGCAGTAGTGGCAACGATGGCCAATGTCGACGAAGAAGATAGAAGAAGAAGAGGGGATAGCAGATAGCTTGAGCCTTGAGAGTTGAGGGAGGAAAGTGGAAACCTAGGGGTTCCGCCTCTCCTATCTCTCGGCATCACCAAATTGAGGCAGCATGGGTCGGCCCAAAATGCAGCAAACTAGGCCCAGAAGGCAGAAGGCAAAAATGGGGAAACAGCTACAATTTCGGTTCTGGGCAGTAAAACCGAACCGAGCTATAATTCGGTTGGGGTGCAGACTGATTCGGAAATTTGGCATGTACTAATTCGGTTCGGTTTAAACCGAACCGACCGAACGCCCACCCCTACGTCTAGGGGCTCAGTCTGGTGTGGCTGTGTTTGTGTGGAAATTTCTTCAGATTTCGGTTTCCCAGAATTGCTGAGTATAACACCGGAAGGGGAAAGGTCGATGACTCTGATTGTCAGATATCTCCATGTCCCGAAGTGTTGCTGTCAGTGTTAGGAATATGGTTCAAAAAAGACAATCATTACTGATGTCACGTTTTGTGTCGAAATAAATCAATTTGCGTAGGAAATTACCTTTTTTGATGACATACAGCCGTCGTAAGTGGTCGAAAATTGTCCTGTCACTAATAAACTATTATTGGCTGGACGTCAGAACAAAAATATTATCGACGACATAAAATCGTTAGTAATAAAAAAATGACATTACAAATGAAATCACTCATGACAGCTGAATTTGAAAAAAAAATTATTGATGGAAAATTTATTAATTTTTCAAGAATTATATTCATAAATAATCAAACATTTCTGAATAGCCTTTATAAATACTATTTATGCTAATGTCGACAAATCATCGAAAATAAATATTTGTAACGAGAATTTTAGGCCGAAGATTTTTTTTATACGTTGTACACACATTTATGAGGTTGTTTTGGCGTCAATAATTTATTATTCTCGATGGACAGTCAGAAATATTATTTTTATTGATGCCATCAAACTTTCGTGAAAATTAAGTTTTTTCCAACGTGACGTCAAAGAAAGTAGATACACTGACGAAAATTATTTATTCGCACAATCAAAATTGTGCATGTAAGGAATCTTTTCCTCGCGCATAGTACATTATTGATGAATCAAATTTTTTATGCCTCGTCAGAATTACAATGAAATATGATTTTTTGAATCTATTTGCGACTATCACTCGAAGCATTACAGTTATAGGTATATCATTAAATAAAACTACAAATACAATGCTATTACATAAGAATCCAAATAATTAGTACATTTCATGTACAAATAATACAATGGTGAAAGAAAATAAGGGCCTAATTTAAATAACTATTAACAACAATCACATATCTCGTCGCCGTACTTCCTCCGCCGCCGGTGAGGTGGAGTCCACTGTCGCTATCCTGCGTCCTCCATGACCAGAAAACCCAAAGATACAACAAAACACAAATGAAAAACGAAAAATATTGGTCTAAATCGACCAATAAGAAGGATCCAGGATAAAAGCAAACTCTAAACAAAAATAAAATCCCACCAAGAAAATGGTCGAAGTCACCTGTCGCCCCAGTCTACAGTGGTGCCCGTTTCCTATCTGCCGGCGACATTCATTAATCTTTTTCTTGATTGAACTCCAAAAAATGACAAACAAACAAAAAACATGCAATATGTTGCTATGAATAGAAGAAGGCGAGTTTGATAGAAAGAATAAGAGGATTTGGTGGCCGGCTATGAACGAAAGCAGAACGAGAGACGATGAACAGAAGCAGACGAAGAGATTGGAAGGCAGAGGTAGAAGATGAGAGGGAATGAATTTTTTTTTGTGTGTGTGAGTTTGCTTTTTTCGCGTTTTTTTTTTCTTTTTAAAAGAGAAGAGAGGAAAGATAAGGGTGGGAATTTTTAGAAGGGAAGATGAACCATCATGAGGTGGCGCTAGGAAAGAATGGACTAGGGTTTCCAGAGGCTTGGTGATGGCACTAAAAGGATCGCATGCTTTGATGTTAATACTTTTAATCAGACGGTTTATTTTATGGCTACAGTGGGTTAATAAAATAACAAATTAGATAATTGTGGTCATTGACATATTGCCAACATAAAAACATATTTATCTTACTTTTTTATATATTTAAAGGGATTAAAAAATTTTGTGCTCCACATTAGCCACAGAGGTAGTATGGGAATGGGGAAGGTCGGGGCGGTACCTCAATATCCATGTCCCACCCCACGCTACTTGGAGTCGGGGCAGGTAATACCTGCGTTGGTATGTAGCATGACGGGTCGACCCACCCTTTCATGTTATTTGAAAGGTAAGATATATAATTACACTAAATTGCTTATATATACTAATAGTTTAGTAACTTTCTGAAGTTAATTTGACAATTTTTAAACAATTTAGGTATCTGAAGAAGTGAGAAGGTTACGTTCGTAACAAGGCACGTCTGTAACAAGTTAAAGGTTACGTTTATAAGAAGTTAAAAAGTTAAAAGGTTATATTCATAACAAGTTAAAAGGTTAATTTTATCCTTACAATTATTGCAGATTACACGAATGCACAATGATAAAGTGTCAGGTTTGAATCCTTCTTTGTTATCCTTAGCTTGAGAGCTAGACAAACGAGTCCTGCACTACACAGGCTATTGTATCAATCAAATCAGATTTCACACTCGTACTCGCGAGTTAACCAAAAGCAATCAGCTTCTCTTCGTATTGAAATTCTTCAAACAACAAAACCAAAACAGAACTGCTCCTCTATTTGCGACGAATTCTGAATTCGTACGAAACACATGCACGTCTTCTTCTCCTTCGCCCTTGTGTTGAACGGGGCTCTGATACCACTTAATACAACCCTGGACGGTTGGATTTTTACCAAAGTACGCAGCAACACAATCAATCCAGGGATTGGTTTGATTAAAACGAATTTCGAATAAAAAACAAGGATGTTCTTGGGTGTTTGGATAAAACAGAATCAAACGTGCAATCTTTCACGTGGAAGAAGACTCGAATGATATAAAGGTAGATGCTCGGCCATGATCAACGCGTTCTTAATCGATACAAGAGCTCAACGAGGTTGGAATCCACCAAAGCTCACACAAGTACGCAAACTTGCAAAAACCCAAAGGTTCAATTTCAATTCATCAAATTCTAAGTTTTTACAACGTAAATAGAAGCTATTTAAAGGCAATACAAACCTAATAGAACTAGGAAACAATTAAGATAAAAGTCTACACTAAAAAGGACACAAAATTCGGGTTTAAACTCTCTTTCTTGAAGCACAAGCTGCCAGCAGCAGTCCAAAAGCAGCTTTTGTACTAACTTCGCGCCTTTCGTTCGAGGCCTTCCAGAACTCCATTCCTTCATCCAATTCCTTCCCTTGGTAGATAAACATACCTATTTTCATGTTGTAGAAGCCTTTGGTCTCGAATCAGATCCATGCTCCTTGAATTGAGATCCAAAGTAGGCTTCACGATCACAGATTTATACTTAACAATTTCCTGGCACTTTTCCAGTATTGAGGTAGCAACTTTGAGGCCTTTGAAAACAACCTTAATGACTTCTTCTGGATCCTTGTCAAAAAAAAAAAAGACTTCTTCTGGATCCAAAAAGCATATCATTGGAAAGATGAAAACTTTATCTTTAAAACAAGCCCTTGATCTCTAATTTTCATTGAGCCATTTGTGAGATACAATACTTAACCAAATTCTGTCTTTCTTTTACCCAACTTCAATAGCTTCCTCGACAAGTAATTTAAATGTGTAGAGTTGGCTATTTGGGATCATATCAACCTTATAGCTAGTTTCAAACCTACCAAATATTTTTAAGGCAGCATGCAGTTGGTGGAGCCAGCCGAATGTGGGGAGGGGAGTCTAGCTGTATAGCTATGGTGACCCTTTGTCTTATTATTGATGATGATGGCATGCGACCAATAAGATTCTTCTTCTATCCACTCCTCTAATTTGATGGAGTGAGAGTGACTGTTTTGTCATGCATCCACCTAACATGGATCACATAATTCATTAGCATCCATCCCTAATATGGAAATGAACACCTTCATTGTGTTTGGTAATACTAATGCTAAAGCTAATGCATATATGGTTTGAGTTGAGATAAAGGTACAGCTGGTACTTACTATAACTATATAGTGGGATACGGCTTGGATTGATTAGGGGGGAAATGATTGGGAAAGATAACATGATTGGGGGTAAATGTTTCCCGTTTTGATGTTGTTCTCTAGCTAGTAGGTTGATCAATATGAGTACCATTTGATCACTGTTTTTGCCTGTGGCTGTCTGGAGACCACTTGATTTTGGTGCAAAATGTGGTATGCACTAAATCATGACTTGCAAATTTGGTAGGTTAGTAAGTAGTGTGTTGCTGCATAATTGTTTCTGGGTTTGCATGACAACAAGATTATGATGAAAACTATCAGAAGATTTTATCATATTTGAGTTGGATTTTGTTCGAAACGAGTAAAGATGATAGGGAATCTATTAAGCATTCGACCGGAAAGCTAAAAAGATTTATTTATTATTATTATTATTTTATTTGCTGTTGTAAGACTCCAACAATTGAAATGTGAAAATTCGTAAAGAAAAAGGTTGATAGATTATTAAAAAGTTAAAAACTTTTTTAGAATGATTAGGGAAGTGAGGCGATTAAAAGTCTTCGCCCCCTGGATCTGATTGTCCATACTATCGTGAGACTTTCTAATATTTATGACTTATCCGCCAACACTCTCTAGAAAAATTATTACCTCTTGTCGTGTGTCCACAAATTGTCACATGTGTACACTAAACTGTCCTAGACCATCTATTGTGCAGTGTTTTTTCTGCCACTACAAAATCCACTGCACGAAAACCTAAACACACCCTTTTGAATCTTTTGTCGTCAAACTATTTAGGAAAAAATCCCATAATACACTAATTACTAAAAAAAATCCCAAAATACAGTACATATAAAAATATTTTCCAAAATACAGCAGTTTGGTTATCACCGCTGCAAACCAAGACAGTGATGAAAATCACCGTTTTTGACCAAAACGGTGATAGCATCACTGTTGTTGTCCACAGCGATGATGCTATCACCGTTTTGGACAAAAACGGTGATAGCATCATCGCTGTGGACAACAACAGTGATGCTATCATCGCTGTGGTTAATGACGGTGATTAATTCACCGTTGATATGCCATGCAATTGTTTGGTGTCAGAATATTTTACCTTCCATTCGAAGTTACGGCGCATGGCTTCTTCGCTAAAAGCATCTTGCACATCGGCTTTCGAAGTGAACGTCATACCCACTTCCAAAGGAGCAGTCGGATTATACACAGGCATGGGCCGATAGTCAGGGGCATCGTTCTGACCATATAAAAATTGATCAGGAACCTCTGTGTAGTAAGGTGTTGGTGCCTGACGGAACGCCACCTCTCTGTCATCGATATCGTCGATATCGTCTGTATCTTCCTCCTCACTGACTGATCTCAAATCTTCCTCACTTTCATCGTCACTAGAGGCGAATGGATAGCTCGACTCAGGATGGTCATCGTTGCCAGCATAACTAACATCGTCTTGTTGGTCATGCGAAGAACGCCCAGATCGAAGGTTGTTCCCAATGTCAGCCCACTCTGGACCCCAAGCAGGCCATTGATCACCGTCGGGCTGAACGATATTGACGGCAGTCTCAGTTGGTTGCAGGTATTCTTCCCAACCACCACCTCCTTCATAACTACCTCCTCCGTAGTTGCTTGAAGTACCACCCCAGCCATACCCTCCTGCAGAAGTACCTCCTTCGTAGTTACTTGAACTACCACCCCAGCCATACCCTCCTGCAAAACCATCATCACAAGAATACTGGTGAGAATGAGTTTCACCGACTGGCTCGGTCTCGACATACACCTCTGCAAGCCGCAACCTGTTGTCAGATAGGAACTGTATCATCATGTTCACCGAGTCATCATCGTTTATGACAACTTTTTCGTACATGACTCCGCCAGCACTCATGTTTGGATAGCGGTAGGCAATTTGACCAACTCTCCTTTGCCCGCCCGTACAAGTCCTTTCTGCACAAATGTCATGGAGTTCTTGTCACGAGAATCTCGACTCAATTTTTAGCATAGTGGATTCGCCATTTTCATAGTCGATGCCAATGTTCGAGTTTGTCACCCGACCATTCCACCGAATAATAAGCCGAAACTTCTTAAATTTAACCATGTCTGCAATTTATAATAATTAAGTATAGTATATAATTAGTACATTAGGGATACAAAAACAATATCATCCAAACCCATAAACAAACGCATGTAATTGATCTATCATGAGAAAACTAAACAAATTCATCTAAATTCATAACTAATTAACTAACATCTATCATATCATAATTAATCTAAATATATCATAATATATTTTCCAATAACCGCAATTCACTAAATACAGACATATAATTACTAACACATCAACATGTAAACAATACATAATTATAACATACCGACTCCCGATCTATCATGAGAAAACTAAACAAATTCATCTACATTCATAACTAATTAACTAACATCTATCATATCATAATTAATCTAAATATATCATAATATATTTTCCAATAACCGCAATTCACTAAATACAGACATATAATTACTAACACATCAACATGTAAACAATACATAATTATAACATACTGACTCCCGATCTATCATGAGAAAACTAAACAAATTCATCTAAATTCATAACTAATTAACTAACATCTATCATATCATAATTAATCTAAATATATCATAACATATTTTCCAATAACCGCAATTCACTAAATACAGACATATAAATTACTAACACATCAACATGTAAACATTACATAATTATAACATACCGAATCCCGACGAGTTTCTTGAGCAGTAAACCAACTCCAAACCAGCTGAGAAAACGACTAATAAAACACTAATTTTTGTACTAATTTTCTGTAAAGTAGCAATAGGGGAAGTGGAGGTCAGTATTTATAGAAAAAAATTTTAGCAATCACCGCTTTGGACAAAAACAGTGATGTGTTCACCGCCATTGTCCTCAGCGGTGATTGTTTGGTAGCTGTGACCTAATTTCCACCTACCAGGGCGCTAAAACGTGTCAATTATCATCGTTTTGGTCCATGGCGATGATATCATCGCTTTACACATCAGCGATGATAAGGTCGAGTATCACCGTTTTGGTCCAAAACGGTGATTGCCATCACTGTCTTGGTTTGCAGCGGTGATAACCAAACTACTGTATTTTGGGAAATAATTTTATAAGTACTGTATTTTGGGAATTTTTTTTAATAATTAGAGTATTTTGATATTTTTTCCAACTATTTAGACATTTGATGTCGCCATACCAAATGTAGAGAGTTTAGACGTCCATAAGTTTTGTTATTCTTGAAGGTCTTCCATCTACATAAATGACATACTTAGCATATGCATTATTAATAATTAACCAAGACCACTTGAACATTTCCAGAAATGGAAATCTTAAACTTGATTGGTTGAGAGAACAAAAGAAGGTATAGAAGAGCAAAAGTAATTTTAATTAATGGTGGGTCCACAGCACAGCACATGTCTTAATAAATTAAGTTCTTATCTGCCCTATCCTGTCTCGATTCATTTCACCAATATGACATAAATTCGGATTAATTAGTCTGAAAAAAAGTTATTAACCTTTTCCTGCTAGAAGAACATCAATTAAATCATATTCTCTAGTCCCTTTTGTCATTTCTTACGAGTTATAAGTGGTTCCTCGAAAACTTTATGAACAACTTCTTTCAAATAAGCCCTATTATAGTTTATATTTCAGAGGTTTTATTGGACATGAATTTATTTGAAATTTTTGAAATACGATACACCCTTCATAAATATCTGAGTTAGACGATAAATTTATATATCTCAATAATGTAAAATTTATCAAAAAACTTGTAAAATTTGATCAAAATCATTAAGGTTCCATTGATAATGCTCAATTGAGTTTAGGTAATTTGTCCAAAAATGTTAGACTAACTTTACACAACCAATTTTGTTTTGTTGATCCTGTATACTAATTTGTCTAAATATGCATACCCAAGGACGAAAATTTAGAGATAGCTCCCAAAAAAAAAGGATAATATTAATTGTCCTATCTCTTTTTATTTTATTATAAAGGAATTTGTAAATAGTTACTAACCTTTCATTACTTCTGATGATATGAAGTGGTGAATGACAAAAGAGTGAGCATGGTTCTATAACTAAATATTCAATTAGGAAACTGATAACCAATGTAGTCAAAATTGCAATTTAAAATTTAAAAATTTATGGGTTTACGCTTTTAGGTCACCAAAATGTTTCTACGCAAAATCACAATTTTTATCACTAATGTAGTTAAAAACACGCTTTAAAACTTAAAAATTTACTATTTTACGTTTCTAAATCACCAAAGCGCTTCTACGTATAAACGCGTTTTTGACTACATTGCTTATAATTAGAGAATAGAATGATCAGTCACAACGTCACATCCTCATGGTCTTTATGATCCTCTCTTTGTTTTAATTTAATTAAAGAGAGCAAATTACGTTTTGATCTGTACAGCCAAGCCAGCCAGCACATCCTTATCACTAACCACAACCATTAAAACCCTATTAATCAGCAACTCCTTATCAGAAAACCCATGTGCTTGTTGCTACCTAGAGCCCTACTTTTAGGCTGAGTGTAAATTTGATCCTTTGTTAGTTATGGAAAAAGGACAACATAAGTAAACTAACCTCATTCAGACATATGATTCATGTTTGGAGTCATATCTTATCATGGATGGCCTTGTATTTCAGGTATAAAATGTTAACCCTCACGTAAATACACAAGTCATTACTAATCTCACAATTAATAGTTTCACAACAATTTTGTCTTAAATTTCATGGTTTCGGTGGGCTATCATCCGATCAAGTTACTTTTCACTACTTCCGACAAAGAAGTTACATTGATCGGTGATGAAAAGAGAGGACTTTGAGAGCATTAGTTTACATTTTGATGTTGGTGCAACTAATTTTTGGAAGGTCAACTTACTAGTTAAGATTAAAAAATAGTCTGAGACATAAATTTTAGAAATATATTTATTAAATTTCAAGCAAATTTTACAGTCGCGGTACACATAATCAACGTGGCTTACATATAATACTCTTACTACTCCATGCCTTCATAATTCTTATTTTACAGCAACTTTTAAAAAAAAAACGTATAGCCTACTTTTATACACATCTTATAGTTATCTCTAACCCTAAAAGATATTAATCGAGGAGGATGATTAGTGATATTTTTACTTCTATTTTTTGGGGGAGGGGAAAGTAAGGGAAACAACAACAACAACAAAAAATTAGGTAGAAGTTGCAGAATGATGAGATGCAGTGTATGATTATTAGGTATGATCTCTTCTCTCTTTCAAGACTAAGCAATCCATATATTCTCTTTTCTTCCCATTGTTTGGATTTAATATTTTTATTCCTTTGTATATCTGAAAAGGATTCTGGTTCCGGGGATGAGCAGAATGATAAGATGCTAGCGTCCACACCAGACATTCATCATCATCAGCATAAGCAGAGGAATATTTATGCCCTTCTTACACCATCCCTTGAAATAAATAAATAATATTTGTAATAAAAGAGAATGAGCTTTTTTTTTTTTTTTTGTGTCATTCCATCGACCCATTTGAAAGCAACACAACATGGAATCCAATCCAAAAAAATCAAAGCATTCTGACAACAAGCAATGCACCCAACACCATCATCCTCATCATCATTCATTCAACTCCCATCCATTACCTTTTGCTTCCCTCCAAAGCCTGTCCCTTTGGGGGAATTTGGCCACCCTCTAGATAGGGGCAGACGGTCCGTGTATTTATAATTGTTTGATCCATTCAGTGTCAATTCGTTGTTAATTATGTGGATGGAGAACTATTAGATGTTATTAGTTCGTGCATACAGTTTCCTCCTATCTACCGGGTAACCGAATTAATCTTTTAAATAAGACTTTCTAAACTTCAAACTTTAGCTAAGGGAGAGTGATATATTTTTTTCAAAATGTGATAGCTACATTATCAACGGTCTAGATCAACAGTTAGAATCTAATAATCGTCCGATGGAAACACAGAAAACACACACGGCCGAAACAATTCAAAAAGGCCAAAACACACATTTTGTTTTTGTTTAGTCATCACATCTCTAAACCAAGATAACGGCTAGAATTGCGTTTTAGACGTCGTGGAGAAAAAAAGATGTTCCTTTTTTACGAATTCCCTCGGCAGGAAGGAAAGGCAGAAAGATTCCATACAACAACAGACAAAAGCAGAGCAAGGCAAAAGCATTCCCTCTCAAATCTCAATTGAGATAGAGAGGAGAAGGAAGGAACAAAGCTCCAAAATGATGAAAGAAAGAAAGAAAGAAAGAAAGAAAGAAAGGGTGTTGTGAAACTTGTTTGTCAATACCTGACGGATGTGAAGAGGATGGGAAAAATCCAAAGGGGACCATCCAAATTGAGGGGCCAAAGAGGTTGAAATTTCATAATTGTGAGAATATTCTCCAATTTGCTGTTTCAATAATAGCCCTTGGCAAGATGGCAACAGAAAGTACATAATATGACCTTTTCTTGGAATCTAACAGCGTGACTTTCAGTTTCAGGTTCAGCCTACTCAATTCTCATCATTCTCCACCATGTAAAGTTTCTGGGATACAGAGCCTCAAGTTTCCACAAAACAGGAGGAGAAATCACTTGGGAAAAACTCCATTTTCAACCCACCAGCAGTCTTGAGTCATCTTCTGGGGAATTGGCAGTCAAAGGTTTCAGCAGCACCAACTCCAGTAATGGACACACTACAGGAGTCAACAACACAGCTGCATGGGATGATAATATAAGAATATATAAGCCAACCCCTTCATCTCTTTTCTCTTGTTTTTTTTTTTTTTTTTTTTCTGGGTTTCTTTTGTCCATGGAAGACATGGATCTTTAGAATATTGCTATACCAATTTCACGATACAATACAAATGCTCAACCTCAAGATAGAAATATAAAAAAAAAAACAAAAAACACTAATCCTGCAAAAATTTCCACGGCTTCCTTCCTCTGCAATTCTTCGTCGTCCTCCTCCTCATGATCACGATCATAGTATTTTTCTTCTTATTTATAACCCATATATTAATCTTCTTCCCATGTATACTTTTACCGATGCAAAAAAAATCCCGTGGCGTGGAGACAGACACACTATACACCAACTTTCCCTGATCTTGGAGTATGACTCTTCCAGCTATAGTTCTCTGATTTCGCATCGTCGTCGTCTTCCATGCTATCTCCTCCGGTCAGGGTTCCACCAAACTGGAGGGGGCCTTGCGGAGAACCAGACTGGGAACTAGCAGCCTTTGAGGAGTCTCCATACTGCTCTTGTGAAGACATCCATAAACCCCCCAAAACAACTACAGATTGGTTTGCAGGAGTGTTGCCACCCGGTGCCATTCTCCGTGTATGCAGTCGATATTTCTACAGTCGAGATGCACCACAAAAAAACAAGCACCATCAGAAGAAGATAAACAAGGAAATGGCATTGAAATAGCTCGAGGACTGATGAGACTCCGCCTTCAAATCACTAATGAGAAAGGCAATGTGTTGAACGCTCACCTGCAAATGGCTCTTCACTTCATCATTGGTCAGACCATCAACTTGCATAATCTCTCTTATCTGCTTTGGTGTAGCAGCTGCAGAAGACCACAGGTTCATTCAAATGAGACATTTAACCAAATGTGCTACCAAAATCACAATTAGCTTACTCCTACTTCATCTACTAATCCGGACTAAGCATAATTCACTTGATCAAATGTTTAACCACTTCATCACCAGTTTCCATCTAGCAACCGAGGGAGCTCCAAAATTCACCTACCTAGCTCAAATTCTATCTACAGCTCACTGTGAACCCAACAACCAGAACACACCAAGATCAGGACCGGAATGTCCATCATATGAACTTAGTTTCAGAATTACCAACCTTGAGAGCCTCCAAGTTGCTGCAAAGCATTCACAAAGCGGCGGTGAAGCTCCGGTGACCAACACCTCCTCTGCTTCCTAGAAGCCTGGAAAGGTGAGTGTGGTCCTCCTTTATGTGAATTATTAGACTGGGAATTAGGTGCAGAAGAGGTAGCCCTTGAACCGGTTGACCCAGAATCCTCAGAAGAGTTCTTGATTCCCGGAGTTAGAAGAGATAGACCAGGAACCCCCAAATCATCTCCTCTGCCATTGTCTTCTTTCCTTGTTAATAAACTAGGAAAATTCTTGACTGGCAAAGTAACCAGACCCCGGTTTTTACAAACTGAGAAAAATGCATCCTCATTTCCACATCGATTCACCTTCTTGTTTGCCTACCATAGAAGACAACCAAAAAAAAAATCAGTTCCCATGATTTTTGATTCACTGTATTTAGATTCAAGTTTTTGTCTTTTCTTGTCATTATCTCCAGCTCCTGGTTTATGATTCTTATACCTTAGAAGATTCAAGACTGAGATTTCGTTTAGCATCAAAACTAGCGGGTGTGACTTGATCATCAGAGCTCCATAATTGGACAGAACTCATCCAACTTTTCTTGTCTTTAGAGGAGGAATCCTTGTCATTTTTAATCCTAGTGTTCTCTCTGCGTTCAGCTTCATCTTCTTCGCAGCTCTTCTTTAATGGAATAAATTCCTCCAACACCGGTGGTTGCTTACTAGTAGCACAGCGCTGGACCGATTCCTTCACAACTACAATGGCTGCCACCAAACAAACAAACAATTAACATCACAACCCACAATTGAAATCGGCTCCAGCTGAAAAACCCAATTCAAATTTACCAGAAAACAACAAACAAAACAACCCCACCAATAAAAACCCATTTTGAAATCCAAACACCACCGCATTCATTCACATATGATCCGTCCATCCATCACACTAACCATCATTCAGGAGGAGCATGCAGAGAGGGAGCTCGCGCTTGAAGGCGTCGATCTTCTTCATCTCCTCCTGCAGCTCCCTCAACAAGCTTTCAACTCTGGGAGCTTTCTCCGGCGCATCGGCGATCGTGGCCGGCGAAGCGTTCTGCAGGAAATCTCCGATCGTCTTGGGGACGAACTTGGCCGACATCGTCCTGAAATCCAAGCTCAGTTCCGCCGGAACCGACCCCATTTTCGGCCTCTTCCCCCTTTTTTTTTCTTCCTATAAATGAAACCGAATCTTTGTTTGTTTCGCTTTCCCTTTCCTCCTCCCTCCTCTCTTATTGCGCTGAGAATCGGAGGCGTGAAGCTAAACAACACAGGAATGGCGAGATCTGCATCAATGTGTATATATAGGGAGAGAGGAGCTGTGTGTGAATAGTGAGAGAGAATCGAATCGGTGGGCAATGAACGAAGGAAGGAGAGGACAGGGAAAATGAGAGATGGAAGAGGAAATATTATATAATGAAAAAGGAAAATCCACGAAAAGGAAGCGTTTGTCTTTCTTCTTTTGCTGAATTTCGGATGGTGGTTTCGTAAATTTGTGGAAAGTACGGGGGTGCGAATGTACATGCAGAAGGAGCGACGCTAAAAGATTCTGTTGAGGAGATTTTCGGGTAGTAAACAAAATCTTTTTTCGCAATCGCATCGATTCCTCGCATATTTTATCTGTCTGCCTATTTCACCGCCCGCCGAGTCCACTCGTTCCCCCAACTCGGTCTCTATTCCCACTTTTTCACCGACGTAAAAAAAAAAACCCAAAAAAAGGATTAATTACGCGGAGAAACTGAGAAAGTCTCCCCTGACAACAGTTGTACAAAAAGATATTAAACTTGATAGACAAGTCACAGAAATTAGCTTTTCTGTAGGAGTATCTTTTTTATTTTTACTTTTAGTTAGATGGTAATTAAGACGACTCATTTTCAATAATAGTGAAGCTACAAGAAAAATAAAAAATATTTACCGACGCATAGAAAATCCAAATTTACCCCCAATTAGAAAAATGTTTATTCTGTTAGTGCATTGATCTATTTGAATTCATTCCTACCTACAAAATATTTGAAATGATAATCATAATTTAATTTGCGTTTGAAAAAAAGGAGTAAAGATGGTGTTAATTGTTGTTAACACACGACTGATATTTACTTCATAATTCTAGAGGAAGAATTAGTAAAAAAAATTATTTGGACAAGATTATCGGTAAGTTTGGAGGTACCGCATATTTTGAATAAGAAAATGTTATGTAAATCTTGAATTGACCGAATTTTGAGGCATGATACTATATTTCAACCCTTAAAAGATTAAAAACTAAGTCTTAATTCTCTAAGTCTTGTACACAGAGATCAATTTAATTAGAAACAACATTCGACGGTCAAGATTCACCGAATTACATATAGCAAACTACATGCACCATCTTAGCGTTTATGATTTTAATAATTAGAAATAAATATTAATATATAGTATCATATCTTAAAATTCGATTAATTCGATGTATAGATGTCGCTTTCATACTAAGGATATGAAGTAGCTTAGATTTACACTACGATAGAAGCCAACACCAAACTGCAACAAAAATGCGCCCAAAAGCCCTGCAATCCATTCGAAATTGAAACCAACCGCGCAACTTGAGCAGATTGCCCAGATACCAGAGCCAACTGTAGTGAGAGGAAGCTCCCCTTTAATTGGTATGTGTAAATCCACACAACCCAGAAGCTCCCACTTCTCATTAGGAGCGTCCAAAGAAGACACGCCATGCAAGCTACATTCCACGATTCAAGATCCTTTAGTCCCAGGCCTCCTTCCTTCTTTGGGCTAGCTACAATATCCCAAGTTACCTTTGCCCTACCAGATTCATCCCCAAACCACAAGAAATCGGAATATGCTTCAGATACACGTATTAACCTACTACTACTACTAGAAATGATACTATGGTATATAAGTAATGTAAAGTAGGATTTCCTAGTATATTTTGGATTTTTTTTTTAATTTTCAATGTTGTGAAGTAATTTTTTTGACAATAATTCACGAAATAAATGACAATTGAGCTGGCTTTCAAAGACTACTAGGTGGCGATGCCGTGTCTTGTCGCGTGGCGGAGATGGCTTATGTGGATGTATTATGTGATATTGGTGTTTTGTTAGTATAGTTAGTCTAAAATTATTTTTTTTGTTATCATTTTTATTAGTAATATTGACTTCACAATATGATATTGACTGAGAAGAGATATATGATGGTCAACATCCAATTTAAAAAATTCTGAAAAATTTTGGCTAATAAATGATATTTACCTAAACCCAAATAGATCCATTGATTATGGGTAGGTATAGGTGACGTATATAATGGGTTTGGGAGTTTGAAATGGATTTGGGTAGGGTATGAATATTTACTTTCATAATCTAAATGTTTATGAGTTAGGTATGGATACACATTTAGTCGAGGGTGTTTTAATTACACAAACAAAAATTAGACCTATTTGTAGAACTTCAAAAGTTTAGGTACCAAAATGTAATACATAAAAATTTAAGGTACTAAAATGTAATGTTCCAACAATATTTTAAGGACTTATATGCCAAAAAATAAATTTAGGTTATAAATGTAAAGATCAACTAAGTTTAGGTACCGAACTATAATTTGCATAGTTGAGACTTAATTCCTATTATGGTGATGTATTTAAGATGATAATTTATTTTTTTTATAAAAAAAGGAAACTATTTATTTGATATGTGTAGATACCTAGCCAAACATTCCATGTATAATTGTTGAAAATTCTAGCTTGGGTGAAAAAGAAAAACTCTAGAGAGAAGTAAAAGAATTACAAACTTGATCTCGCTTAAAATTTCACGCCTTCAAATCTCATAGTGGAAAATGACGACTTTCTAATTAGTAATAACCACATATATTTATTTTTAATTGGACTCGACATTGAGCTGAAAAAATAAGTGGTTCATGGTTAAATTATTAATTCTCTAAACTATTGGTGAGTCGTGTATGGACTCATTCATACTTGTGATTAGAATAAATAAAATTGGGTAAATTGCAAGTTCAGTCAATAGAATTACTACAAAATTTCACGTTTGCCACTAAAATTACTTTATTCCGTTCATGGTCACTAAGATTAGTTCAACCGTTCAAGTTTGGTCACTCTCCGTTAGTCTCCGTTAAAATTTTTTGATGTGGCAGTCAACCGTGAAAAAAAACCGGGGTCAAACCCACTGGGTTTGAAAAACTCAAACTCGACCCAACCCGCTCGGTATCCGTGGGTTCATGGGTACCCATGGGTTTTTGCCGTAAAAAAATTACAATAACAAGTTCCTATCAAAATAAAAATTAAATATCAATCTCTCAATACAAATTATCCATATTAAAACACCATTCTAGAAAATTCAAGCAGATCACCAATTAACCATAGAAATTGTTAACACCAATCTAGAAAACTCAAGAAAATTGAAGCAAATCACAAAGTATCCATAAACAACACGATTAATTGAAAGTTTCTTCCTCCTTGTCAATTAAGCTTCTTCTCCACTCGATAATATCAACTTCATTTTACACAATTATAAAGAAAAAATTAGACATGTCTCCACAAACATAAAGGAGATTAGTTGTTTATAATATTAAATATATGGGAAAATTAATTATATGGGTGTGGGCGGGTTTAATGAATAGTGAAGGGGTTTAAACCCAAACCCAACCTAATGAATAGTGAACCCAAACCTAACCTAATGAATAGTGAACCCAAACCCAAAAACATAAAAGAGATTAGTTGTTTACCTAAACCCAAACCCAAACCCAACCTAATGAATAGTGAACGGGTTTAAACCCGAACCCGACCCAAAACTCGTCAACACGGGTTTTACCCGCGTTGACTGGTTGTGTCGGGTAGGGTACCCGTGAGTTCGGGTTTTGTTGCCATCCCTAGTAGACAAGTTTAATCAATATAGTCTCTCAAGCTAGCTGTCTAAGTTTCAAAAAGAAAATAATTGAAAGAAGGGGGAAAAGCGAATAAAGTAGGGATGCAATTTTGGTGGATGGAACTAGAGTGTTTAAACGGAGTGGTTATCGTGATAACCGTTTTAATCAATAGTATTTTGATAATTTGGTTTGGTTAATTTGAATAATTGGTTTGGTTAAATTTTTAGCTTGTTTGGTTTAAGTGGTTTGGTTTGGTTTCAGACACTCCTAACCAATCAAACCAAATTACCAGTTAAGTAATTAGCCATATATCTAATATATTTTATACACATGCTTAATACTTTCCATAACCACTCAAGAGTAAATTGTAAGATAATTGTATTGTTTACATGTATTTATGTTAAGGATTGACTATAATTATGTGTTGATTGTTATGTGTTATTCATAAAATATATATTGTAAATTGATGCACTAACCAGGAAATTTTCTCACTTAATGATAATGTGATGTCATATTGGTTATTTTGGTTAACCAATTAACCAAGCTGATTAAAATTTAGTTTGGTTAATTTGATTGTTGTATTAGTTTGGACAGTTTGGTTATGATATTGTATTCCATGGTTAATAGAATTTAGGCTTATTTGTGGGACGCGATGCAATGGTGTTTGTATCGATAACTGGTGTCAGTTGTGTTTGTGGGAGATGCAAAGGTTTTCATTGATAAAATCATGAGCAGGAAGTATCCAGATAGTCGTGGAGGGACGGTGTTGGAGGAAATCATGATGATACGTGATGGGTTTGTGCAGTTTAGTGTGCGTCTTGTTGGCAGGAATTGTAACAGGGTTGCCCATTTGGTGGCATGCAAAGCTTTTTTTTATTCTCTTCTATATATAGTTGGGTTCGATTTTGCTTCTTACCGGTTTTCGGCCATGTGTCTCTTTGTATCTGGATGTTTTCCTCGGTAATACGAGCGATCTTTTGGTATAAAAAAAGAGTAGGGATGCAATGTGGCGAGCTCAATTCTTCATCATTTTTATATATTCAAATTTATGCCAGTGACATTGCCATGCCAAGAGTGTTGTGCTATTTCATCCCCGTATTCGCCGGTGTTTGGGTATCCGTGAGTAATAGCCGCGCATACATCCAACATTACTATATCTAAAATTTAGCATATAGATCTTCAATTATAACACTAAACGAACCTAATAAATCATGAAATCAATAAAAATACAATCATTATTAATAGAAAGTCAACGTATCCAAATCCAATCCTAAAGCATCTAATCGAATAGACAAAGTACAATTCTATCCAAATCATTCATCTACGACTTTGACACATATACTAAATAATAAATATGATAATGATTATTTATTAGCCAAACCTTTATTTATTTATTTTATTAGTTAAATCTATCGAAATACTAAGAATTAGCCAAATGCTAACTTTCAGTTAGCAGTTTTGTTAGTAATATTAACTTGGCAACATGATACTTACTTGGAAGAGACACATGAAGGTCAACATTCC